ATTTGGTCTTTTGCTTCTAGCCATGATGTCGTAACAGGGACAGGATTAATCTTCCTGCTTGAACCTACTAGAATACCAAACATGTATGAAAAGTGTTTTTCAGACATTAGAAAATAGGTAGTAAAGGATTGTGGAGGGAGAAAGGATGAGAAAAGAAGGCTATAAAAAAGACCCAAATGAAACTTTAAGGAAAAAAATATAATAACTTGAATTGAAAAATAAAGTAGAAGGCATTAAACAGCAGATTAGACACTGCAGAGGAAAAGATCAGTGAACTAAAGAAATAGCAATAGAAATTATCCAAGATGAAGCACATGGAGAAAAAAGGACTGGAAAATAAATGAACAGATTGCTAGTGATGTGCACGGTCTATAATATGTGTAACTGTAGTCTTGAAGAAGAGGGTGGGTAGAAAAACTTTTTGAAGAATTAATGACAGATGTCTTTCCCAATTTGATGAAAACTAAATCTACCCATATAAGAGGCTCAACAAACTGTAAGTATAATAAACTCAAAGGAAACTATACCATAAAGAGGGACATTTCATAATGCTGAAAGAGTTAATATATCAAGTAGGCATAACAGTCCTGAATGTGAATGTACTTAATGAGAAAGCCTCAAAATATCTGAAGCAAAAACTAATAAAACAGAAAGGATTAGCACATTATTGACGATTATAGTTGAAGACTTTAACATTCCTCTTTCAATAATTGATAAAACAACTAAACTGAAAGCCGTTTAAGGCTATAGAACACTTGAGCAACGCCATTAACTAATTTGACATTTATAGAACACTCTACTCAGAAACAATGGAGTATACATTCTTTTCAACTGCACATGGAACATTTACCAAGATAAACTATATTCTGGGCCATAAAATGATTATTAATAGTTTTAAATAATTGAAATCATAGTATGTTCCCTGGTCAGAACAGAATTAAACTAGAAATTAATAACATAAAAATACATGGAAAAGTCTTCAAATGTTTGTAAATAAACACTTCTAAATAACACATGGATCAAAAAAAATCATGAAGAAAACTAGAAAGCATTTCACACTGAATGAAAATTAAAACACAACATAGCGGAGCACCTGGGTGGCTCATTTGGTTAAGCATCCGACTTCAGCTCAGGGCATGATCTTATGGTTCATGAGTTTGATTCCCATGTTGGGCCCTATCCTGACAGCTTGGAGCCTGCTTCAGATTCTTTGTCTTCCTCTCTCTCTGCCACTCCTGCTCTGTCTCTCTCAAAAATAAGCAAACATTAAAAATTTTAAAACCCAACAGGGGCACCTGGGTGGCTTAGTTGGTAAAGTGTCTGACTTAGGCTCAGGTCATGATCTCCCAGTGTGTGAGTTCAAGCCCTGCATTGGGCTCCATGCTAACAGCTCAGAGCCTGGAGCCTGCTTCAGATCCTGTGTCTCCCTCTCTGTCTGCTCCTCCCCTGCTTGCACTCTGTCTCTCTCTCTTTCAATAATAAAAAAATAAACATTAAAAAAGACACAGCCACAGCAGAATTTACTTAATACTAAAGTAGTGCTTAGAGGTAAATCCATAGCTTAATTAAATGCATATATTAGAGGAGAAGAAAGGTCTAAAATCAGTGACCTAAGCCTTTCCCTTTAGAAACTAGAAAAAAATAAGAGCAAATTAAACCCAAAGTAAATATAAGGAAGGTAAGAGCAGAAATCAATGAAATAGAAAACAGAAAAGCAATAGAGAAAAATCAGTGAACCTAAAACCTGGAGGCCAATGAAAGTTCAATAAAATTGCTCAACCATAGCCAGTTGATCAGGACAGAATATGATAATGCACAAATTATCAATATAAGGAATGAAAGAGGGGCGCCTGGGTGGCTCAGTTGGTTAAGCGTCCAATTTCGGTTCAGGTCATGATCTCACGGTTCGTGGGTTCTAGCCCAGCGTCAGGCTCTGTGCTGACAGCTAGCTCAGAGCCTGGAGCCTGCTTCAGTTTCTGTATCTCCCTCTGTCTCGGTCTCTCCCCTACTCACGCTTCTCTCTCTCAGAAATAAATAAAACATCAAAAAAAATTTAAAAATTATTAAAAGAATGAAAGAGTGATATTACAAAGTTTGCGTATACTGAAAGTATAATGGAATATTATGAACATTATGCCGTAAACTCAAAAACTAAGATGAAATGGACAAACTCTTGAAAAAGACAAACTACTAAAGCTTATTCAAGAAGAAATAGATAACATGAATAGCCCTATTCTACTAAATAATTAAAAAGCTCTTCTTAATTAAAATAATTAGAAGCCCTAATTAATGGGGCTGTTTAGCTCTATTTTTATTAACGAAATTGAATTTTAGTTAAAAACTTTCCCAAAAGGAAACCTCTAGGCCTTGAATCTGGAATAGATTGTCTCTCACAGCTGTCAGAAGGAGCCATCCCTGCTGGCACCTTGATCTTGACTTTCAGCATCTAGAAGTGTGACTCAAAAGTTTCTGTTGTTCAAAACTCTCTTGGTGGAACTTTATAACAGCCCCTAGCATAGACCTGAATTATAGAGTTAAAACTATAAAACTACAAGAAAATTTAGGACAAAATCTCTGTGACTTTGAATTAGACTAAGTTTCATAGTAAAGTCATAAAAAGCAAGAATTGTAAAAGACAATCAATTAGTTAGATTACATCAAAATTAATTTTTTTTTCAAGGCACCATTAAGGAAATGAAAAGGCAAGCCACAGACTGGGAGGATATATTTGCACAATCATGTATATAATATATAATAATCATATATAACGTAATTTTTTAGAAAATATTTACACAATCATGTATGTGTGACTTTTTTATATATAAAAAATTAAGAACTTGTATCCAGAATACATAAAAAAAAATAACTCAGTTATAAGACAAAGAGATAAATTTGGGAGATTTGGACAGACACTTCACCAGAGAAGCAATGCTATTGCAAATAAACACATTAAAATATGCTCAGTGCAGGGCCCTGACTGGCTCAGTCAGTAGAGCATGCAACTCTTGATCTTGGGGTTCTGAGTTTGAACCCAACATTAGGTACAGAGGTTACTTTAAAATCTTCTAAAAAACTTTAAAAAAATATGCTCAACTTCATTAACCATTAGAGAAATGCAAATTAATATTACAGTGAGATACCATTTACTTACTACAGTGATCTTGTAAACTGTTCCAAGTGCTGATGAGAAGGTAAAGCAATAGGAGCTCTCATAGAATGCTGGTGGGAGTACAAAATAGTATAGTAACTTTATCAGTTTCTTATAAAGTTAAAGATACATTTGCTGAAAGAACCAGCCCACCCATTTTCTAGGTATCTACCTAAGAAAAATAAAAATGTCCACAGAGATTTGTACTCAAATGTTCATTATAGCTTTATTGATAATAAGTCATGAAAACAACCTTAAATATTTATTTACTAGTGACTAAACAGATTGTGGTATAGCCATAAGATGGAATACTAATCAGTAATAAAAAATGAATGTAACAAAAATATGCAACAGCATAAGTGATTCTCAAAACCATTATGCCAAGTGAAAAGAAGCCAGACGTAAGAGTACATGCTATACAATCCCATTTGTAGGAAATTGTTGAAGAACAAAACTCTAGTAACAGACAGTAGATTAGAGGTTGTAAATGTGGGAGGGGATCACCAATTAAAAGTGGTTAATTTTAGGGGCACCTGGGTGGCTCAGTCGATTAAGCGTCTGACTTCGGCTCAGGTCATGATCTCACGGTTCGTGGGTTCAAGCCCCGCGTCAGGCTCTGTGCTGACAGCCAGCTCAGAGCTGGGAACCTGTTTCAGAATCTGTGTCTCCCTCTCTCTGCCCCTCCCCTGCTCACACTGTCTGTCTGTCTGTCTGTCTGTCTCTCTCTCTCAGAAATAAATAAAAAACATTTTTAAAAATGGTTAATTTTATTTTTTGCATATTGTGCCTCAACAAAGAACCATGAACAAATTGAATGTCTGCTGTATGCCAAATGCTGTGTTAGGAATTTGCTTAGGTAGATGTGGTGTCAGTCCTCCTTGAAGGGAGCTGTAGACATTGTGTGGAAAGACTTGCAGTTCTGAGAGATAAGAGTCCTAGAGAGAAGTACTGTTGGGTCACAGGAGAGGGTTTTTATCAGGAAGGCTTCACATAGTGGCTGCTTAAGTTTTAGTTTGATCTGTGAAGAGTCAGAATTCTGAGTGTTGAGAAAGGCATTCCAAACAAAGGCACATGAGTGTGAAAATGCATGTTATATTTTATAAACAGTAAAGAGCCTCGTGTTGCTGGAGCCCTGGAGCTGTGAGCTTTATGTTGAAGTGACAAGAATTGAAGCTGATTGGGTTGGCAGAAAGATAAAAGGCGGAATGTTTATTGTATTTGCTTAACAAACTGATATTATAAGAGATATCATGTACTTGAGAGGGAAAGTTTCCCTCTTGGATGAGGGATGAGGTGATCACTGCACCCTTTCATTTCTCTTCATTCCTTTGCTTTTGGCTTAAAAACAAACAAAACAGCATAAAACCTTGCTTTTACCATCAGCTGTTTTAAAATAGTAATTCTCCCTGGATTGGCCTCAGCCAAATTTGTGTAACTAAGGCTGTGTTTGAGTTTTCACATGTTGTAGGAAAGAAGTATGTTTTAATGTTTGAGAAAGTCTTTCATACTAGTCATCTGGGAGAGCTGCTCAGATTAGCCATGTCTCAGATATGGCTTCTGCTTTAAAGCAAATACCTGTTTCTTTGTACCAGCAGGGAGAAGTATGAGACCTTCCTCACATGACAGTTCAGAAAGGAGAAAACCTTCTGAAAATGGCTGTTTTGGTTCAGCTCCATATATATCAAATTCTTAAACATCACTCTCTATCCTTTGAGTGATGAAGGGAAATGTATATATATGTATGTATGGTAGGAGCAACATAGGATTTTTTCTCATGGGATTTTGATTAAAGAATAGAATGTCCCATTTGGAGGGCTTGCTCTAAAATCAGATACTTTGTTTTGTATTACAGGCAATGGATTTTGAAGGCTGGGCTGACACCCTCTTTCTTCTGCAGTTTACTCTCTCTTGTGTGATGGGGTAAGCCTTTGTTCCTTGTTAGCAGGTCGTTTTCCTAGAGAAATTTGTTCTAGGGTCCTTTTGCTTCATTCCTCAGTATCCTGTTCTGTGACTTGAATGTATCAGCATAGAATAATTAAACTTCCAGATTCAGGTGGTTTCACTGACCTTGGGAATGTGCCCTTAGGGGCTTCTAAACTGATCCCAGAGTCAAGCTCAGAAGGATGCAGACAAGAAACTAACATTACCATGGGGCGCCTGGGTGGCTCAGTCAGTTAAGCGTCTGACTTCAGCTCAGGTCATGATCTCACGGTTCGTAGGTTCGAGCCCCACGTCGGGCTCTGTGCTGACAGCTGGCTCAGAGCCTGGAGCCTGTCTTCCGATTCTGTGCCGCCTCCTCTCTCTGACCCTCCCCTGCTCACGCTGTCTCTATCTCTCTCTCAAAAGTAAATAAAACATTAAAGAAAATTAAAAAAAAAACTAACATTACCAAATAACCTAGTATGCGATAAGCACCATTATATGTCAAAAGGCATTATTTTATTTCTACATTAACCAAAAAAAATCTAACATTACCAAATAACCTAGTATGCGATAAGCACCATTATATGTCAAAAGGCATTATTTTATTTCTACATTAACCATTGGACACGTATTTTTGTCCTCCTACCTATGAGAAAGTAGGCTCAGAACTCTAGTAAGTTGTCCAAATTTGCAGTTAGCAGGTGGCAGTAGCAGCCTTTGAATTTGGGGCTGACTCACTCCACCAGGTTATCTCCCTCTCAGAAGAGTGGATGTGGAAAATAAGAGGGTATCTGGTAATGTGCCTCTTTTCTTCACCTTTGTATTTCCCTAATGAATGTTTTTCCTTGGCCAGTCAGTTTAGTTGGTGTTTATGACTAAATCTGGCACAGGCTAGGCACATGGTGAGCAAGTGCTTCAAAATAAAATTGACATGGTACCTTGATACTCCAGCTTGGAAACCTCATTGTAAATCTGGCCGCTCTAACTGCTGCCACTTAAGTGATCCTTAAGTGTTAGGTGAACTGTAGCCCCTCTTAAGGTAATGCTGGCTTGGGTTTCTTCCATCTTTAAGAATCTCTTTTTCCTCCTGGTCCAGTGGTCATATTGTCCATTGGGAGGTGCACACCTGACTCATGGTCTGTGAGCTCAGCTTTCTATCTGGGTTAGGTGACTTAGTGGGAATATAATATAAAGAGTACTCAGGATTAGCAACAGTGGTTTCAAGGTTTTGGTGAGGGTAGCTGGGAAGACACCTGGTCAACAAATGGATGTGTGTTTCTTGTTAGGGAAATTTTTAAAATCTAAAGCTGTAGTACATGCAGGGGCAAGGTGGGGAAGGCTCATGGTCAGTGACTGCAATGTGCTAGCATGGCCAACACTGTTTCTCTTGGCTTGAGATTGCTGTAAAGTAAGCAACTGGCTCTTATGCCTCATCCTTCTTCATTCCAGGTTTATCTTGATGTATGCAACAGTACTCTGCACGCAGTATAATTCTGCTCTTACAACTACAATAGTTGGCTGTATTAAGGTGAGTTGAAAAGAATACTGTTTATCTCTTAGGTACCTGCTTTATTTGAAAATTACTAGTCTAAGTCTTGCTATGGCCTTAAGCTCCATAATCCTTTTTTCCTGACAGAATGTCTTAGTTTGACGGATTGTGGTGATGGTTTCTAAAGCGATCTTTAAGAACTCAAGGAGGGTATAATCTCCACTTTCAAGCAACTCAGCTCTGAGGAGTATGGGAAAAGGAGAATGTGTTATCTTAGTGTAGAGGAAGAGGAATCAGGCTTGTTTAAGACAGGGTAGGTAACGAGCTTGATAGTGATAAGTTTGTCCTTCTAACACCCAATGAAAACTATTCTGTTCTCTCCCTTAACTGAGTTCTGGCTATTGTAGGGAAAGGATGCCTGCCAGAAGTTAATCAAGGGATTTTTCCAATGCATGAGCCAGACCTTAAATGGCCCACTTTTAAAAGCTGTGTCTAACATTTCCAGTGATGTCATTTCCTCTAGATCCATTTTATTTGAGGGAGGCTCATTTGTCTTCAGCCAGGAGAGCCAAGTTGACTTGAGTATTGAGGTGAAGTTAGTGGCTTGAAGCCTGAGTCCTCTTCCATCTGACTTTGTGCTTCTAGTACTTTAATGTGTTTCTAGTACTTTAAGATCCCACAGCATGCCAGATTTCCAAATGAATTAGCAGGGTAGGCTTGCTTTCTAAAAAAGGTAAGGAGGGTGAGGGGAGGTAAGAGAAAGAGGGAAGAGAAAGGTAAGCTCTTGATCATTTGGTGAAAAGAATGCTTGCCCTTTGGGCTTCTTTTCTGATTCCCCATTTGTGAATAGTGAGGGAAGGGATTAGAGAATAAAGTTTTCACTGCTCTGCTATGTTTCCTTTGTCTCTCCATGGAGTGGTGTCTACTTGCCCTCGCTTTAGCAACTTGATTTGCGTTAAAATTTCAGAAATTCCATGACTTCAAATCATGGAATTGTAGTGTTTGGTGTAAATAAAATTCTAAATTAAGCTATAACTAGTTAGTTGTGTGAATTCCCAGGAAACCCAGAGACAGTTAATCTGCATGCAAAGGCCTAGGCTGCTAAAATAGTTTCAGCCCCTCAAATCAACTCTCAGCTCTGTTTTGGTTTTGTAAAGCAGAGTGAATGCAGAATAAGAACAGCAAGAAAATAAGAGGCCAGTTGTTGCCATGTTTTTAGCCAAAAAGGATAGTGTAGGAAAGTCATTGTTTAATTTTAATAACTAACCTGTTTGCTTAAGATTTCTTAGTGTATTTTCTTTTTATTTATCAGCATGGAGTACAGATATAATCACCTTCTTATTAACATAAAGTCCAGTACTTTTCTTTTGATATTTCTTCTTCCCCACAGAACCCTGTTAATTTACTCTGTCCCCAAGGGATCAGTTTTACTTCCAAAGTCTAGAGGGATTAGTTACAACTGCTGTTGCTTCTCACTGTTTGTATCGCTGTTGAAGGACGTCTTCCATCTTCAGACAGATGGGAATACACTGCTGCCCTTGCTGGTTCAGAGCCTCCCTGGTCACAGCGCAGTTTCTTTTATCCGCCTTCCAGTTACAGCCCTTTTAGCTCAGTCACTGCCCCAAGGGACTGTCAGTATTTCTTGTTTTTCTGAATCATGGTGGGAAGATTACTTAGGTTACTTAGTTAAAAGTGGAAATTCCTAGGCCCACCTACATATACGAATCAAAATCTCTAAAGTAGAACCTGGAAATCCTATTTTTAACAAGGTTTCCTGGTGTTTCTCTGGTAGACTAAAGTTTGAAACTTGCCGTCTTAGTTTTGAGTTACTACCATAGACTCTTCTGTGCATGCTGGCAAGTTTTCCTTTGGGAGCATTGCTGTCTTTTCCTGACTGATTTTGAGCAGCAATTGGATTCTCAGTCCTTTCGATATTTATAGCTCCCTGGGCAGTCTATGCAAATTAACCTGCTTTCTCTCTGGATCTCTGTGTTCCAAGTGAGATCCTGTCACACATTTTCTCAAGTTGTCTACTGACCTTATTTACTATTACGTGGTATTTAATTTTAATTTTTCCCTCAAATAATAAAAAAACATGTTCTAAGGTAACTTGGTGTCTCCATCCTTAGACCTAGAAGAGGCTGACATAATTTTGAATGTTCTCTCAAAGGCACTCCCATTATAAAATTAATTTTGAAGTTTCTTTTTGGCCTTTTAAAAACACTCTGGTACTTTACTTCTGCTTCATAAGCCCAATGTAGGAGAGCCCATGTTCTAAAAATGTTTGTGACATTTATGATTTGCGACAGCTATAACAGTGGAGAGGGAGGGGCGCCTGGGTGGCTTAGTCGGTTAAGCGTCCGACTTTCGCTTCGATCCTGATCTCGTGGTTCGTGGGTTCGAGCCCCGCGTCGGGCTCTGTGCTGACTGCCAGCTCAGAGCCTGGAGCCTGTTTCAGTCTGTGACTCCCTCTCTCTCTGACCCTCCCCTGCTCACGCTGTCTCTCTCTCTCTCTCCTAGAAATAAATAAAACATTAAAAAAAAAAATTAAAAAAAAAAAACAGTGGAGAGGGAGACAGTGACTTGTGAATGTGAAAGAGAGGAGGTTAGGGAAGAATTGAATAATAGCTTGAACTTTGGGAAAGTTTATTTCATCTCTGTGGTCTGAAGGTAATTAAAGCCAGAGAAGCAGATGTTTAGACCTAGGAGTTTAGGGAGTCAGGAGAAGTAATTTTAGGTATGCCACTTTGAGATGACTTTTCATGTGTGGGTTTTTTTTTAAGTTTATTTATTTATTTTGAGAGAGAGAGAATATCCCAAGGAGGCTGCTTGCTGTCAGTGTGGAGCCCAATGTGGGTCTCGGTCCCATGAACCTCGGGATCATGATCTGAGCCGAAATCAAGAGTTAGGCACTTATCCTAGGTGCCCATCACGTGTTTTCTTAAGATACGAAAGAAGATGCCTCTAAAAAGTGTTGATGTTGGTGAACTCCTTACCATCCCCTTTTTCCTTTTTAAAACAAGAGAGAAAGATGCTTACATGTGAAGTTTTCCTGCTTCACTTTCCCCTCACAAGTTAGTGGTTACCTCAGTGGGAGAAAAAAACATTTTTTTCTAAGATTGCTAAATGTGCATTAGTGTTTTCTCCCCCTAGTGACAGCAGTGTTTCTCTATTTAGATTTATAATGTCAGCCCATACCATGGGAGAGGGGAAAGTGGAAAATCTTGTGATAAATCTTGGTGAAAGTATTTAGTTTTTGGAGGTGTAGATTGGGAAGAGCTTAATGTCATTGTTTCCTTATTAGTGGTTTTCCTCATGCTACACTCATTTTAGGATTGGTGGGTTTTTCTATCTTTAATTTTATATTTTAAGAATAGTTATTTGGGCCATTGTGTAGATAAGTATTGAAAAGCTCAGTTAAACCTATGTAATAGCATATTACTTTTTTTCCTTGTAGAATATATTAATAACTTATATTGGAATGGTCTTTGGTGGAGATTATATTTTCACATGGACGAACTTCATTGGCTTAAATATCAGGTAAGTAAAAATATTTAAATGTAACCACTTTGACAAGAGGGATTTGGATACTCAAATAGTCTCACAGTAAGGGGCTATTTTGTTGCAAATTTGTCTCTTTATTAAACATTTATGGAGCACCTACAGTATATTATATATATTTAATGTCTTCACGTAATGTTTTTTAAGAAATGGGAATAAAATGGTTCCGTATTTTATGCACAGTATTTAGGGAATGTTTTCTGGAAGCTAAACTCCTTTTAGCCTTCAAGCAACAGTCCTTTACTTATTGTACTAGATGGCAGTACAGCGTTGTCAAGAAAATTCAGGGCTACAGAATAGCAGCTCTGTTAGAATTGCTTTATATGTATCTGACCTTGGACATATCACTGGATTCCTTTAGACTTTATCAGTGATGAGAGTGGCGTGTATAAAAGACCTTTTTCAGTTCCAGAATTGATTTCATGGTTTTAAATACTATCTGTGTGCTTGAAAATTCTCAAATTTGTATTTGTGCCAGACCCCTGTCTTTAACTCCAACTTGTATGTCTAACAGGCCACTTGATGTCTCTAGCTGACATGTCCAAACCTGAACTCCTTTTATTTCCTCCAATGTGTGCTCCACCCACAGTCTCTACATATCAGCTGGTGCAGACTCTGTCCTTCTAGCCTCTCAGTTCCAAAACCCTGGAGTCATTCTCGACTCTTCAATCTTCTACCCAGTGTGTTCACAAATTCTCTTGGCTCACCTTCAGAATAGATCCAGAAAAGAGTCACTTCTCACCAGCATTGCTCCCAGGGTCATCTAAGCCATCAATATCTCTTGGCCTAGATTACTGCCAAGTCTTTTCCACTTGCATGGTTAACTCCTTTATGCCTGTAAGGTTTTGCTCAAATGTTGCCTTCTCATGGAAGTCTACCCTGACAACCTTATTTAAAACTACAAACTGCTCTTCCACTTCTAATCCTGCTAAACCCTCTTATTCTGTTTTTGTAGAGCTCTTAATCTCTTTTAATATACTATATAATTTTATTATTTATATTCATTGCCTATTTTCTGTCTTTCCTGTTAGAATGTAAGTTCCATGGGGACAGAGATCTCTACCTATGTAGTTGCCTCATTTCTCAAGCTCCTAGAATGAATCCTGCTATTGCTTAATAAGTGTTTGATGAATTCTGTATGGATTGGTGAAAAAGCACTTTGTAAACTCTAATAGAATATGGAAGTGTCATCTCTTTAATTTGTAGCAAATTATATAACCTCTCTGAGCTCTTACTTCTTCAAATATAAATAAGTTGAGATAATACCTAGTCTACCTTCTGTATGAATCAGTATGAGAATTTAATACTAATATTGATAATAGGTTAATAACTCATTGTTGCCCCTTCCCTGACATTTATTTGCCACTGTAGTTGTTTATCTTTTAGATGAAAAGTCATTTGTTGTTTGTGGGGGTAGGAGTTGGGGGTGGTGGCGGCGGGTGTAATGTGTACTTGAGGATTGTATATTATAGAAGGAAGAAGAGTAATTCAGTCTTAGCGCTTGTTTGGAGTTGCAGTTCTGATGCTTCCTATCTGTGTGACTTTGAGTGAGTTGTTTATCTTCTCTGAGCTCCAGCTTTCTTATGTTCTGGGGATGAAAATACCCCTGTCTCTTGGGACATCTGGGTGGCTCAGTCGGTTAAGCATCCGAGTCTTGATCTCGGCTCATGTCTTGATCTCACGGGGTGAGTTCAACCTCCCACATTAGTCTCTATGCTGGGCGTGGAGCCTCCTTAAATAAAAAGAAAAGAGAAAATACCTCCTTAGAATTGTTAGAATGGAATAATTTAATATAAAGTATGTAACTTTTTTTGTGTGGAGGAAAGTATAATCTATTTTTTTTTTTTTTACTTTTTCTCTCTAAAATGAAAATTATGGTTTTTTATGGACTTTTTTTGAGTTCTTCCACAAGTTAATAAGTAGACTTATAAGTTTTGGACATTATTTTTTAAATGCAAAAAAACAAAGTGGCTATCAGATTCACTTTCATTGAAATGGTGTCAGTCCATCTTTGGTTGACTGCACTTTGAAGGAAATCATTAATTGAACATTTTGTTTTGTTTTGGAAGTGTGTGTGTGTGTTATTCTTTAGTGTTTATTGAGTGCCATTAGCCATTAGATGATTTTTAATTTCAAAGAAGGAAGGGAATTCACACATTCTTGTAACCCACTTTCTTATTCCACATTTTAGCATAAAATATTTCACAGAGAAGTCGAAAGCACTTTACAGCAGCATCATATATTTATTACCTGAATTATATAATGAAAATTTTACTATGAGTATGCTTTATTACATATCTGTAATTGAACTATATTCTTAAAAGATTCTCTGATTAGACCCAGATACATCTAGCTTCCCTCTACCCTGCCTAGTTTCTTTGTTGTTTTAAGAAGAGTTTAAATAGTCTTCTCTGGTGTGATCCAAGTGCAAGAATCAGGAGGTTTGCACTGGTAGCAAGTTATTTGGCTTCATCCAAATTTTGGGATTTAGGAAGCATTTTTTTCAGTAGGACTCTATTGAGAACCTGGCTGTCTTCAGCCCTTCTAAATTTTGTTTTTCCAGTAGCCACTTACTGAGTACTCACCAAACCCCAAAAGGCAGTGGAGAGGGTAGGGAATGATTAGTGAAGGGTGATGACAAGAGCCTGCTTCTGTACTTACTTTCATCAGTTATTGGAGTTAGCCTATGGGTTTGGCCTATGTAATATAGCCTTTCCAGATAATGACATCATCATCCTCATAACGACTCAGGCTAGAATTCCTAGATCCTTTGGGACTCATCTTTATCTGTGATTCTTTTTTTTCTTCCATTTAAAAAATTAATATATGACTTAAATACAGTGAAATTCACACCCTTAACTTTACAGTTCTGTGAGTTTTGACCAATGGATACAGCAGTCCTGTAACTACTACCACCACATTCAGGATATAAAACAATTATATAACCTCTAAAATCTCCCTGTGTCCCTTTGCATCGGACGTCTCCCACTACCATCAGCCCCTGACAAAGATCTGTTTTCTATCCGTGTAGTGGCCAGATTGTCACGGAACAGTGACTGACTGACTTTTGGTCTGATGTCTTTCAAGTAACATACTGCATTTGAGATTCTGTGTTGCACTCTGAGATTCTGTGTTGTTACATATATCAGTAGTTTTTAACTTTTTATTGCTGAGTATATTCTGTAATGGATATATCACAGTTTATCAATTCACCAGTGAATTGAAAGACTGAAAGACATTTGGGTAGTTTCCAATTTTTAACTGTTCTGTGTTAGCTGTTAAAATAATTTGCTTAAAAGTTTGTAAATGTAAGTTTTTCATTTGGGTAAATACTGAATTCTTGGTTTGTGTGGTAAGTGTTACGTTTAACTTTGTAAGAAATTGCCAAACTATTATCAAAAATGTATGTAACATTTTTGGATATCCCTCAGCCATATGTGGTGCTCTGTACTGGTTGTACCACATCCCAGTCCTTGGTATTGTTTGTTTTTGTTTTTTAAATTCTAGACATTCTAATAGATCTGTAGTGGTTTCTCATTGTGATTTTAAGTACTGTAGTGATTCATTATGTTGAACACCTTTTCGTGTGCTTATTTGCCATCTATATATATTCTTTGGTAAAGTGGCTGTTCAGATATTTTGTCCATTTATAAAAAATTGGGTTGTTTTCTTAAGTGTTTTTGTTTTTTAGAGATTTTATTTTTAAGTAATCTCTACACCCAACATGGGGCTTGAACCTGCAACCTGGAGATCAAGAGTTGTGTACTCTTCTGACTGAGCCAGCCAGGTGCCCTTTGTTTTCTTAAGTGTTGAGAGTTCTTTATTAATTATGGATACAAGCCTTTTATCAGATATGTGATATGCAAATATTACTTTCCAGCCTATGGCCTGTCTTTTCATTTTTTTAATACTCTCTGTCAAAGAGCAAAAACTTTAAGGCTATTTTATCTGTTTTTCTTCTATGAATTGTGCTTTCATTGTTAGGTATCTAAGAAATCTTTGCCTAACCCCAAGGTTACTAAGATTTTTCCTCTTATGTGTTCTAGAAGTTTTATAGTTTTCAGTTTTAAAATTAGGTATGTAGCTCTTTTTTTGGATTAATTTTTATGTACTGTGTGAGGTCTGGATGAAAAGTTCTTTTTATTTTGTTTATGTGTGTGTGTGTGTGTGTGTGTGTGTGTGTTAATATAGAGATCCAGTTTTAGTACCTTCTATTGCAAATGTTATCCTTTCTCTGCTGAATCGCCTAATTCTTTGTAACACTGTTTTGAAGTTCTTTTATTATTACTGTTTTATCAATCAAGAGGCTGAGAGTTGAATGCGTTCTGAAGCTATGCATTGAGCGTGTGTGTATGTGAGGCATTATGTTCTAGAGAGACATGGTACATTCCCTTGTAGATCTGCCAGGGTCACACGATTAGTAAGGCATGTCACAAGGATCTTAACCCAGATGGATTGGATTCCAGAGTCCAAGTTCTCATTCCTTAATGTATTTATCATTCAGCAAATGACTAATTATAATGTAGCCTAGTAAACCATATATGTATGCATCACCATTTTAGATATTTGGCTATTTGAGGGCAGAAATCACATGTCTTCTACAGTTGTGCCAGTACTTATCAGTGTCTGGCCCATAATAAGCATTCATCTAGAACTAATAACAAAATACTGGCCAGTATGTTTTATGTGTACTAGAACTGGGCGTTATCCTAAGTACCCATACTTAATCTCTGTAACAGTTCTATGAGATAGATGCTGCCAGTATTCCATTTCACAGAGAGGCTAAAAACTTGCCCCATGTTACCCAGCTGGTAAGTTTTCAATCCATAATTTACCTTCCAAGTCTTCATTCTTAATGATAGTCTAGTAAATAGTGAATACATGAATGGATTACTTTTATTTTCGTATTTCTTCATGATATGCCATACACACTCCTTTTGTGTAACAAAACTCATTCTGTAGCTTCTGAGGTCACCCTA